CTGCACAAGCTTTTAGGGCTGTACAAGAAATCTAATAAATATGGTAGTTTTATCCAAAATAATACCACACAATGTTTGAGTTTCTTATTGACCAGACGTGTCGAAGATACCGTCACACTTGAAATTCTTGACTACAGTACTCCGGTTCGCTGTGTGTTACACTGTTTGTCCAGAGACACAGTGGCTCAATGTTTTAATGAGCCGGTCATCATTTTCCAGGCTGTACATGCGGGATTATGCGCAGTTGTAGTTAGGGGGCATTCATTTCCATCATTGCCCATTTCTTTCATATATTAAAAACTACAGTGTACAAAAGTACAGTGCGTGAGAGCCCAACAGCAATGATTGACGACTAGTGCTGAGACACGCCAAAAAACACGCCAGAAGAGGGCGCTAACTGATGAACACGGCAGGTTGCAGAATAATCAAAGATAGGCCTTTTCTTTGAGAATGAATTCCAGTAAACACGATACACTCGTTCAATGTGTAAGTAATTTTCTATTTTATGATTTGTCATCCAACATTCACCCTCCAGCATACAAAACAATGGCTACTTTCAATGTCATTAAACCGTTTTATTAAAAATATCTTGTGATTACAAACACCCAGAAATTTACTATTGACTGTTAGCATCTCAATCTGTATCAAGAATAACAGACCACTTATTTGTTACATTATCAATCCCTCAAAGTTTGTAGTCTAGCAATACAAAATAAAAAGATCTTGATAAAGTAACAACTCAAGTGTCAAAATAAAGCAAATGAATATTTTCCTAAAACAGAGTCACAAAATGAATACAATATACATAAAATGACAATGAAGTAGAAATTCATAATTCCACTGAAGAAAGGAAATTTGTGAACATGCACTTGGCCGTAGTCTGAGATTTGGAAGACAGTAACCTTTGTGACCCCAATGAATGACAGTACATCTCTTTCATTATTCGTTCCAAAATGGTCAGAAGAGAAAAGAAATAGATTATTACCTAAAATTAAGTTGCCCCTTTATATGAATTTTAGTGAATAAAGTTCACTAAAATACTTGATGTTAAAAGTGTTTCCCCCGTTTATATTTCACAACACTGGATTTTAAAGAACAACTAGGCCAAAATGAGTAAAACACAGTGGAGGTCAAAGCATTAACGATATAAAATAATCTGTCTTTAAAAGAAAAGGAGCAACAGTGACAGGCAGGGGGGGCCCGCCCCACCTGAATATTTGTAGAGAGAACACTGTTATTTCTAAAAGCTTTCAGAAAAGGAGATGGTGACACTGCGTGCTGAGGTTTTCTCCTCCATCCTCCTTCAAAGTTTATTTTGAAGGCACAATCAATGTACACGTGTTTTAGAATAAGTCTCAATGGCATTTCACCTCCATTCCCCTTTTAGTTTGTCCTTCTATCATAACGGCCATTGATCTTTCTCATGTTCTGATTCACCCCACCTACTACACTGTTACGTCTGCCGTTATCATTGCTATTTTATAGCAGGATACACTTTCTTTTGGTTTTGGTCTCGGGAGGCTCCAGTGCTGCCAGGATGGCCTCATCAAACACGTTCTTAAGTCCTCGCTGGAACAGATATCAAAACAGAGAGCGATCGTTTAAATACGGTCCAATTTTATAGCCTGATTTAGCAAACTATTTTATTGCTTTTCAGCTCAGTTAGATGGAAATTCAACAGCGCCCCATACCTGTGTCAGGGCAGAGCACTCCACGTATTTAACGGCCTTCAGCTCACGAGCCAGCTTCTCTCCGCTCTCTGGATATAGGGGGCGCTGTTTGTTCTTCGCCAGCTTCTCGATTGTGTTGCTGTCTTCCCGGAGATCCATCTGTGTTCCCACTAACAGGAAGGGTGTGCGTGGGCAGTGGTGAGAAATCTCAGGAACCCACTGGGTGGAAGAAGAGACATTGCGATTAGATCCACACTTTCTTCCTTCCCGTCCATGTCTGGGTACCTCAAAAAAAACCACACTAAATGTGTTTGATGCTTGAGTATTGAAACCTGTACCTGTGAGGTACTGAGAGACAGCACTACACTACAAAATATTATAACACTGAGACACGGTGGTTGCAATGAACACTCTTTTGCAGATTGTGTTACATTTCTCAATGTCAGGAATAATAGAAATGATCTAAACCAAGGCTTTCATATCTACTGAATTATATTATCATTTATTTTACTGTATTTCTATATTATATGAACTATTTTGATATTGGCTTAATTTTTAAACAATCTTGTGAACAAGCAAACCGTTTCCAATTATTTCAAGGAAATTGTGATGAACTTTTTATATACTCAACAAATAAATGATTGAATTGAGAAAATAAGTAATTCCAGCTGTTAAAATATCTTTAAAACAAAAGTCAATTCAATTTTTTTCACAATCAGCGACAGAAAAAAAAGGATTTGAAAACTGACCTTCTCTTTGACATTTTCAAACGATGACGGGGAGACGACAGAGAAACATACGAGGAACACGTCTGTCTGTGGATAGCTGAGAGGACGGAGCCGGTCATAATCCTCCTGACCTGTGAGCGGCAATCACAAGAGAAATAGGGAAGCTCGACTACTTGTTTTAAAAAAGGGACAAAAATAAAAAAAAGATGTTCACAAAGATTCTCGTTACCTGCTGTGTCAAATAGGCCGAGGGTGTAGGGCTCCCCCCCGATCATCACAGTCACTGCATAATTATCAAACACCTTTAAAGAAAATACAAAAAAGATAACTAATTGGACAAAAATAAAATGCAGCATGTTTTATTTAGCTTAAGAACAATTAATGGAAGGATCCAGCTTTTCCACGTTGACGTGTTACATTGTACTTTTCAACATGATTCAGCTTTTATTAAATCGTCTTACCGTAGGCACATATTCTGACGGGAACTTGTTAGTTGTGTAGGAGATCAGTAAGCAGGTCTTTCCTACTGCTCCATCGCCTACAACTACACATTTTATAGTCTGCATCTACAGCGACAGAGAGAAAATAGGAAACATCACCAGAGAGTTTGCAAATACAGAACAGTATAATCAGACCGAGACGCAGTACAGCCAGACAGAGAGAGGAAGTAACCAAACATTTACATTAACACGCCAGGAAATATTTTGAATGACAGATGGACAAAGAGCGACTGAAAATATACGTTTTTAGCGTAGTGGGGAAAAAAACTAACTTCAAGCCCTGAATTTTGAGGTAGCTGTGCTGTACTGGAATATTTATTTATCAGTCCAGGGGGAAAACGTTATATTTTTTACTCTTCTACATATTTATGTAACAGATATGATTACCAGTTAAGATTAGCTCTACATTGGCTCGCTCCAACATGTAAATGCTGCTTGCACAATGATGCACCAATATTAGAGTATTGCACTCTATGATGTTCTAATTAAGATTAAACGTATACTTTATGAAGTGATATACATTAATTCCAATCAAATGGCACCAACAGACATTTGGAATAGTTCAAATCAACGTAACCTTCACCAGCCAGAATGCTTCTCAAAGAATCCCAAAATACACACCGTATACACACTATATTTCTTAGTTATTGTATCGTTTTAATTAACTACGTTTATTTTAGAGCTAAAGTTACTAGTTATTTTTCAAAACATTTCCACACAAGTCTTGCTATGTCTGCTATGCTTGTTACTACATGTGCGTGCAGAAGCGTTTTGATGACAGCGAATCACTTCCGCATCGGCTGCATACCAACGACGCAGAAAAGGACGACGGCCCGCGAGCCCATTCAGGAGCGGATGCCGCGCGACACTTCCGCTAAATAAAACAATCAGCTCATTTGGGGTAAACGTAGCGTTTCAACTTCAAAACTTTGGGAAATTGGTTGAACTTCACGAGCTGTAACTTGTTTAAAAACGAGCTGTCGAAGCCGGGCCTGGTTGTAGTAGAGGTTGTTGTTTTTTAAGTGATTGTGCTCAGGCTGATAAAGTGGAAAAAACGGAGAATTGTCAACTGTCAAACTGTTGCCTCGGGTAGCTTACTTACTAAAACAACAGCTTATAACCTTTAATGAAAAACACAATCAAATAATCGCTCAAACCACTGTGACAACAGACAACTTCAATACCAGATTGATGTTAGCCAACATTAAACTAGGCTTGATGGCTCGGAAACTTTAAACACTACGGAAATTTATAACCGAATTCACAAGCATTTCCTTTCAGTAGAAGCTTCGTGTTGTTAAAACCCTTCTCCTGTACATTTGCAGACTGTATAGTTTGCCACGAATAGCTATTTTAGACTGTTTTTCTAACTCTACTCACCGTTTTTCTTCGGACAGGTTAGGCGTTGGTTACATCCGGGTTTGAGGGTCGAATCCTCTAGTGCGCAGCCGCAGACCTTCAGAGACACGCTCACCACGTTAGACCCCCGCAGAACAGAAACAGCGCCACCTAGTGGACCGCAGCAACCACCCACGACATGCACGTTACATCCTGTCTGTACCACACGTGTTTCATGCGCACAGTTTGTACCACGCTAATGGTAAATCACCTTTATTGAAATCCTTTTGTATTTATTTTTCTGTGCTACATGTCTCATTTGGATTTACTTAAGATTGTTTTGCTTTACATCTGCAAGTCGATCCTCTTGTATTTGTTTTCGGAACAGATTAAAATGTATTGTATGTATCAACAAATTGGATCAGCACAATCAAACAAATTAAAACAAGCCAAATTATCACGAGCTGGAATCTTGAACCCCTGTAAATGTCTTGGATTGGCGTCATTGGTTTCGTGGATATGAAGTAAATATGCCTCATATGTAAATGCGCGATTTTCTTTTGACATCTATGTAATGAGTAATATACTCAATTTCAAACGATTTTGAAAATGAATGTGTTTTATTTTTTTCGACAATATTTCTTATTCTGAATCATGACATTACCATAAAACATTGCTAAGCCTCTCGGGAAATACTTTATTTTGAAAAATAAGGAGCCCGGAAGTTACTTTTGTTAGCTCCAATGCTAACTTTACCGTAGTGCTGCTTCTCTTTGTCAGAGGACTCACTTCCGTTTTCATGTTTGGTCCAGGTTTCTGGAATTTACTATCTAGTGAGACTCTGGGCCATCTCTTGCTCTGAATAACAGAAGTTCTAACCTGGTGTTTTGGAGACGGAGCTAATAAGAGGAACTCCTTTTCAGCCTATTCATAGTTTGAGTCCGTCATTTTATTTTATCCTTGAAAAAACACGACTGTTTACCTAGCTAGCTGGCTAGCATCAGCCAGCTGAGTTAAACCACCTAGCATGTTTCGGTTCTTGAATGACGTTGACGACGACCCCTACATGATGTAAGTATTGACATTAATAACATTTTGTTGAGACGCTGTCATCGCCATGTGTTTTGCGAGAATCGGAAAATGTAGACGTTTGGACGTTAAGTGAATTTCCCCCCCCCCCCCCTGTTCTTTAAGCAGGTACCTAACGTTACTCCAGCCAGCTGTGGGGGCCTACAGTGGTCCTCCATATTGGATAGACCATAACAAAAAAAGAAGAAGCTGTCAGACTTCTCAAGCATTTGATTAACCAACTAGGTGCTGAAATGGCCAATTATCACTCCTGGTAGAACTTCCCGTTGTTTCCCAATTCACTTTGAGAGTTAGTTAATTGATGACAGTGGGCAATGATTTAATGGTCAAGGTACCTGAACCTCATTAACATACAGTTACCTGAAGAATTTGCATTCGAAAAGTGCATGAAACCATTCTTCTTTTTGTGTTAGTTCATTGGCATTCACAATAAACTCATTTGGTGTTGTGAAACTGGATCTATGGAGCAGTTTACAGACTTGCTGCATAAACACAGGCGAGCTTTATCATTTGTTTCAAATAGTATTTGAAACTTCCGTTGCCCTATTTGGGCGCCTGTGGTGTCCTTAGATATTCATCAGCTGTCACACAGTGAGCAACATCCCTCTTTATAATGTCAAAACAGCAAAGACGGCTTGTAAAAGGCTCCAACTCAAAGTTTTTCCATTATTGCCTTATCTTTATTTTATTTTCTTTTATATCCAGGTGTGTTTAACATGTCATTTTGGTACAACTAAATGTCCACAACCCAACAATATTCAGTCAACTGTCATTTGTATTAGAGACCATCTTTAAATCCTCCAATATGAGAAGATAGAAACTGATCGAATAATTAGGACCCTCTAGAGAGACGCATGCACTTTCTTGAATGCAAAACAACAAAAAGTACAACATAAATGAATCAATGCCAATTTGAGATTGAACCTTAATTGATTAGGTAATTGATAGAACGTAAACCTGCAACAATTATGGCCATCTATTAATCTTGGCGATCAAGTTATTTGGGAAGTATAGAAAACATGTTGATCTGGACATCTTTTTCTCTATTACAATATGATGGATTATTATTATTAACAATCATTAATTGTTTTAATACAATTTTACCCAAATCTGTGTTTTCTTTTAGGGATCCATTTGCAGCTCACAGGCAGCAGATGAGGCTAATGTTTGGACCATTTGGCATGGATCCCTTCGCCCTCACCCCCCAGATACAAGCACCCCGTGCACCACGCAGACAGGTAACGCTCGGCCGTGTTGACGGGGCTGTTTCAGTGTGTTTTGTTTATTTCATGTTTATGATATCCACATTAGTTAATCTATTTTAGTTGTTACGTGTTATTTTTTATTTTAAGATGTGTCTTTCTTTCTAGGCTGGTCCGTTGGCCCCCTTTGGCATGATGGGAATGGTGAGTAGCGGCTTCTATGACATCAGTCAATACCTTCAAAATAAATGTTTCATTGCATATTGTTGATTATACAAGTTAGCCAAATATGAAGTGACATGACAGTGATCAAAATACTACTGAGCGGCAGTTGGAAAGCACAGTATTGTGTGAAAATTGGACTGTATTGTGGTATAATTACATGACCCAGGGTTGGGATTTAAACTAGTTCCGGTACAGTCTAGATTGTGGTTTTAAATAAGTTAACGTTTTGTAGAGTTCACTTAGATGAGTTGAGAAAAGAAGAGTTTGTCACTGGACAAAAGACAAAATAATCTGATTACAGGACTCAAAAAATTGTATTTTATGCATCTTCCTGCTCTGAAGAAGACGTTGTGGGTCTCAAAGGATGATGTAGTGGTACTGAACTCACAATGAATGCTGGTTTTAGAGGTGTTCCACTCTGTACTTAAAGTTCATCAAATTCTATAATACAATATCTGCTTAAATGTATTTTGGCAGGGTGGAGGATTCATGGATATGTTTGGCATGATGGGAGAAATGATGGGAAACGTGGTAAGTAGCTCAACCAACTTCAAATAAACACAACAAAATTACACCACAAGTAAAACTTTTATCTGAACAGTACTTTGATTTACTCTTTGTTATGTTCCTCTTTCAGGACAGGATGTCCGGCTCACCGAACTGTCAGACGTTTTCCTCGTCAACAGTGATCTCCTACTCCTCGACAGACTCCGGGCCTCCCGAAGTTTATCAACAGACCAGTGCGACGAGAACAGGCCCCGGAGGGGTGAGAGTAACCCGTTCACGTTCGTTGAAATGATTATGGTACACCTAGAGAGGGCTGATTAGCGACAAATAAGACAGTGATTTCTCTCCTCCAAGGGCAAGCCTGATTGGCCACGTTGGCTTCTTGCTTTCTTATTCCAGGCATGACTGGAGCGTTCTGGCTTCATAACCCATGAAATCCCCAGTAATTGTAGTGACAGTAAATAGATAATGTACACCATAAACACCTTAGTTGTCATACAAACGTTTTGGTCTGAGTTCATTCAGAGTGCAGAGTATCCTTCTTGTTTTAGTAAAACCACGTCGCTACTTTTCACCTCAGATCCGCGAGACGCGACAGTCGATGAGGGACAGTGAAAGCGGCCTTGAGCGTCTCGCCATCGGCCACCACATCGGGGAGCGTGGGCACATAATGGAGCGTTCCCGAAATCGCCGCACTGGAGACCGCGAGGAACGACAAGACTTCATTAACCTTGATGAGAGTGAGTCATTGGGGCAGAAATCGATTGTTGATGACGGGGGGGGCTGCTAATGCTAATCATGATGCAGCAACATGCGCTGTGTGATTTGTGTCGCTGTCTAAACGTCCGTGTGATCCTGTTAGCTGATGCTGGAGCGTTTGATGAGGAGTGGAGGAGGGAGGCAGTAAGATACGTTCCCCCGACTGCCCGGGGGCTGGAGTACGGCCGGGATCGACGGGGAGGAGGCCAGCAGCTCGCCCTTGCCGCCCCTCCCAGCTCAACGACCCCACCAGGACATCGGCACGACTCCCCGAGAGACCGTCAGCCCCACACCCGTCCACGTTACGACTGGTGAGAGGTAAGCGTGAATATTTAGTAACAAATTATGATTGCCGTGGTTTATTACCTGTACACTGTTTTTAATTATATGTGCCTTCAGAAAAATATCAAAAATGTATACGAATTAAAATACATTTCTTCTTCCTGCATCATTAAATTAGCAAATTTAGGGGTTCTACGCCATATACACGTCCTTATGATGATTTGAGATTATAGCTGGAATTAAAACAGTTTAAAAAAAGGACATTTGCCTTTTTTTAAACAGTTTTACAGCTATAATCTCAATTCATCATAAGGACAAAGACAAGACAAGCACTGGCGACATGTCCAGATATGATGCAGCAAAAGGCAAGAAGACAAGTCTGCTCTATTTATACAACCCAATATAACCTCTGTTGTTAGACTCTTGATTCAGAACCCCCCCTACCTCCCCCAAATGCAGAGAAAACTTCATAACGATCAACAAAGGAGGAAAGTGTGTAAGGAATAGACAAATGTAACAATAACACTCGGGAAGACAACATTTTAGATTATAAACACAGAAGAATATGGATTGACAAGGATGTCGAGCAGCTGTCAGTCAGCGCAGCCAACCCTTATAAAATGGTGTAATAACAATGTGAGGCTGTCCTCGATCAAACCGGTAAATTGGATTTTGTTTTATGTGTCTGCAACAAAAGTTAAAATGGTTCAGTTGCTCAGCTCTGTTGATTCCATCCGCCTCTTCTGTTTGTAATTTGATGTCATTAAACACACGGCGTCCTTGCTTTACTCTCTCTGCAGGTGTCACACTTGGGCGACTAGATGGAAGAAGTTGAGGGAAGATTTCCCCAATACTGTGAACCACGCTGAAGATGGAAGTTGATGACCGTCACAACTGCCCGTCGTAAATGTTTGATATGACTGGACTGTCTATTCATGAACCACACATACGCACACACACACACACACACACACACGAACGAACGAAAACCCCACGCGCTTGATAGTTACATTTACAGTTCTCCTTCGCCACTGCTACACAACACACACACACACACACACACACACACACACAATGCACCCTTGTGCAAACAAGGGTATAACTACACTCACTTTATATATACTCATTCTCAAAACTTGACATGTGTTTTTGCCCACTGCACTTCAGTGCTACAGTATACAGTACATAGATCTGCTGTACAGTCCATTTTATGTTTGTGAAGGCACTAGTGTGTCAGTGAATTGAATTGTATACAGTTAACCAATTAATCTAACGAAATAAAAGTTCATTAAACATTGTTAGATAATAATTAAAATGTGTCTCTGTTGTGGTTGTGTTTGAGATTTCATGCCTTGTGTAATAAATCATGGAGTTTTTTCTAAAACTGAATCCCTCAAGTCATCGTACAGCCATTAATGTGTTCCACTAAATCTGTCAATTATACGTAATTGTCTGATGTTTGTATTTTGTATTGAGAGTTTTTTCTTCTGTGAAGGTAGAGGGTGTGAATCTTTTAATCTGCTGCGCTAGTTCATTTTTTGAACTGACGAATCAGCTGTACGTATCCATCCCACTGCACGTATCGCTATGCCCCCTCCTCCCTGAGCCACCATGTCTGCTGGTCATGTGACCTCCAGATGAAGCACACAAGGGCAACAGCCAATGAAAACCTTCTGTTTGGATAAATCACTCCCATAGCGGGCTCCCTGCCTGCCTCCGACTGTCCTTGCTGTATCTTTAATTACATCCGAGACTATTTTTAAATTGCGTGTCCTTCCCCCAACATCTCTCGTCACCTGTCTACCTGTCTCCTCTAATCTCCGTCATTAGATCTCTAAAGTTCTCCTACCCGGCGGCTCCTTTTGTGCATCTGTCTTTGCGTGTATCCTCCTCCCTGTTTCTTTGTTCTGTTGCATTCAGGCTGTCATCCACATGTAAAGTGTTCAGATTGTTTTATCCATTTTCCATCAATTTGTTTGCAGGATTACTGCGCAGCCTCCACATCAAATGTTAATGTTAGCAGTTTCCTTGGCAAAGATTAGCGCACGTCATCAGGTGCTATACTGTTTTTTTTGTTTGCTCATGAGCAGATATTCTCACCAGCAAGCAGTGCCAAAGAAATGACTCGACATGCAGGCTGTTAAATGCAAATATAGTCCACTAAGAAAGGTCAATAAATCTTTCCCTCGGATATTTGATTTTTCTGGATTTCTGGATACTCCATCCGTCTTTATACTCCCCCAGTTTCATTCCCTCCCCTCTTCGTCTTCCAATGACTCACACACTCCCCCTCCCCCCATGTATGTCATACGTTTTCACCCCTTCTCCTCCCACCTCCCCGTCCTCCCTCTCATTCGCTCACATCCGCTCACTTTCTCCACTCGCCTTCAAACACGCTGCAGGTAATGTTTCTAAAGAGTGATCTGTTTTGTTCATTCCCTCCGTCTGTCTAAAACCTCCCTCCTCCTCCCCATCCTCACATCCTCCTGCTCAGTGTCTCCTCGCCGCCTCATCCCTCCATTGGTCCATATCGTCAGTCAGTGACGGCACAGACATTGAGCTGGCTTGTGCTCCGGTAGATCCATAAATAGGTATGCATCGGTAGCCTTTTGATTTGCGTTTCCCTCCCTGTGTATTTGTGCTTGTCTGTGTGTGCCAGCGTCTTCCTAAGGAGCATCTTTTCCGAACTCTTCTCGTCCCATAAAGCTGCGTCACCATCATCAAGGTGTGTAAACGTGAGGAAGAGGAAGAGTGTCAAGTCATTGTGACTAATCTGAAATTGAGGCTGCCATGGAATGCATTTTTGATGTTTGCTTATTGTTATTTTCATACACGTTTTTCTGCAGACCTGTTTCAAACCAAAAAGGGAAATGATCGTATGATTTTTTTTTTTCATGAGCATCAAAATGAATTAGTTGCTTTTTTTTTTTTTTACAGGATGTCCATAGTGAGTATTGTTGCCAGGGAGATCCTGGACTCACGGGGCAACCCGACTGTGGAAGTAGATCTGCATACTGGCAAAGGTTGAAAACATGAATTCTTAAATAAAAAGATGACTCTGTTGTCTGTTGTGTTCTGGTCGGACAGTTGGCTTGACCGGGTACCGTGTCTAATCCAAACCTTCTGAAAAGCCATCTTGTATTCGCACAAGCTTACTTTCACCTTTACCTTTCCACACCTGTGCTGTATGTCCTTGCTCTCCACCCACCAACTAACCTGTGTCCATTCCAGGTGTGTTCAGGGCTGCTGTGCCCAGCGGTGCATCCACCGGCATCTATGAGGCTCTTGAGCTCCGAGATGGAGACAAAACTCGCTACAAAGGAAAAGGTGGACATTTATATTGAGATGTGTCTCAATTTTTCTTTGTATTCTGCTTACAAATACAAATGTGGAATGACCGTTTTAGTTTATGTGTCAGTATGTGAAAACATGTCTTCTGTCCTGCTGTTTAAGGCGTAACCAAAGCGGTCAGTCACATTAATGACACCCTTGGACCAGCCCTCATCCAGTCTGTGAGTAGCAGTGCAGGATTTAATCATTTCAAATCCAAAATGGCCGAGCTATATACTCATGATTGCACATTTCTGAAATGTTCCTTTTCTTTAAGGGAATCAATGTGTTGGAGCAGGAGAAACTGGACAACACGATGATTGAAATGGACGGCACTGAGAACAAATGTAAGCCTGGTTCACATCGCGTGTGCAGCGATGCCATATTCTGTGTGTGTCTTGACGTGTTTCCGCACCAGTGCTCACTCACTGCAACCATGTGGTGTGTTTTCTCCCAGCTAAGTTTGGGGCCAATGCTATTCTCGGCGTATCCTTGGCCATATGCAAAGCTGGCGCAGCAGAGAAAGGTGTTCCCTTGTACCGCCACATTGCTGATCTGGCTGGAAACGGAGAGTTGGTCCTCCCAGTTCCCGTGAGTCCCTTTTATTCTATTTAAAGTGCAATTTTTATTTCACTTTTCCTAACATAAAAAGCTCAAATACAATCTCATCCGTGTCATCTGTTTCTCACTCAGGCTTTTAATGTGATCAATGGGGGCTCCCATGCTGGGAACAGACTGGCTATGCAGGAGTTCATGGTGCTTCCTGTTGGGGCGGAGTCTTTCCGTGATGCTCTGCGTATGGGGGCGGAGCTCTACCAGACACTGAGAGACGTTATCAAGGAGAAGTACGGTCAGGATGCTACAAATGTGGGAGACGAGGGAGGGTTTGCCCCCAATATTCAAGAAAACAGTGAAGGTAAGATCAACCCACACGAGAATTCTTCTTCTTCCCTCAACTTCCTGTCATGTCACATCTTTCTGTTTCACCTCTTCAGCCCTGGAGCTGATTAAGACGGCCATAGAGAAGGCAGGCTTCACAGACAAAGTGGTGATAGGGATGGATGTCGCTGCTTCAGAGTTTTTCATTGAGGGAAAGTACGACCTGGACTTCAAGTCTCCACCCAACGCCGCCCGCAACATCAGCGGCGAGGAGCTGGCCAGCATCTACCAGGGCTTCATTAACAACTACCCAGGTGTGTGTTCTGTGTGTTGATGACCCAGTGAGTGAATGAATATCCCCGCCTATTTTACATATTTCTACAATGTCCATGTCTTCACATTTTAGCCAGAGAAACTAAGGAAAAAAAGACAGTTGGATTCTCCGCAGCCTTGTCGGTCCTGCAGACACTCGGTCCTGTTAAAGAGGTTTTAATTATGGGCTGCAGTGCACATTTGGCAAGCAGGGACCTACTCCATTGTGGCTCTTTACCCTGTCAATGGTGTACTTCCTGCTTGTGTGGGCATCTGTGTATAATGTGAGTGCATTCTAAAGACATTACTCCCATCAGAAGCGTAATTGTCATTGGTGCTCTCGTCCTATTAACTTGGAGGAATGAGTCAAGGAGAAAATGAGCGTTTCACAGCTGTAATGTTAGACTTACGCTGAAAAACGATTGTTCTCGTTTTTCCTTTTTCCCCAGTTGTGTCTATTGAAGATCCTTTTGACCAGGATGACTGGCCGGCTTGGTCACAGTTTACAGCCTCAGTGGGAATCCAGGTACACTTTGCCCGTGTTATCTTGGAGTGAACTATCCTTATATTCCAGCAATTTGAGTGTTGCACTTTCAACTATGGGAATAGTCCAAATTGACGCTGCAGAGTTCAAGAATTCCTTTTTTTAGCATCTAGTATATGGCTGCAAAATGCCATAGTGAAACTTAATGGCGTATTTTATTGTGTCTGATTCCACCCCATTTTACATCTCAATGCGCTGATCTTCGTTGAACAGTAATGGATTTACTGGGCTGAGTTGATCTGATACATTTACTGGGAGTACCACACTTGTTATTGGCCTGTAACTTGCATAATTTGCGCAGGTCGTTGGAGACGATCTGACGGTCACAAACCCGCGAAGGATACAACGAGCCGTGGAGGACAAGGCCTGCAACTGCCTGCTGCTTAAAGTCAACCAGATTGGCTCTGTTACAGAGGCCATCAAGGCGTGAGTTTGTGTGTATGTGTGTGTGTGTGTGTGTGTATGATGCATAGACGACACACATTTTTAGGTGCGTGCCTGCCATGTGAGAACATGCATCATATTTCTTTTAATTTGTTCTTCTCCTATCAGGTGCAAGCTGGCCCAGGAGAATGGATGGGGTGTGATGGTGAGCCACCGCTCTGGAGAAACAGAGGACACCTTTATAGCTGACCTGGTGGTTGGTCTCTGCACTGGACAGGTAACACACACACACACACACACACACAACACCTTACCTTTGGAGTAGTTGCCTTTATTTTTAGCATTCCACAGATGGTATTGATCTAACTAAAAAAAGCAATCAAAAGATCACATTATAGTGAAAATATACGTATGTGACTCTGTGATCCTTGATATTTGTGTCTACATTCAGATCAAGACTGGAGCTCCCTGTCGATCAGAACGTCTGGCCAAATACAATCAGCTCATGAGGTGGGAATTAATAGCTTAATTGGTTTATGTTTGTATAGATATACAAATATAAAACACACCTTATAGAACATTTACATTTTCTTCTTTTATCCCCTCTTTCTTTCATTCTTTCACACTCTTCTGCCTGCTGGACACTTCTATCTGTTTCCCCCTCGCCTCCTCTTCGTCCTCTCAGGATTGAGGAAGAGTTGGGTGACCAGGCTCGCTTCGCCGGACACAACTTCCGTAACCCCAGTGCCCTTTGAGTACCAGTTCCTCGGCGGTGTCACATAAGAAACATATAAGCAGAACGTTTTATTACATAGTAATGCAATCATGACACCTTACAACTAATTAGTTTTCAAATGCACCGTTAATGCACTCTACAGTACATTGAGCACACGCTTCAGCGAGTGATTTGGTTGAGTGACTACAGCTGGTTGCAGAAAATCTTGAACAAAGCCTAGAGGGAAAAAAAGACGAGCGCCTCCCCTTGTTATTTTTTTCTCTTCCTCGATTCCTTTGACTCACTGCAGACGTGTTTTGACCTTATGTGCCCTGGTATTTATTCTTCTTCCTCTTCCTTGTGTCATTTTGTGATTTTAACCCTCGGCAGCTTGCTTTTAAAATTGTAACCGTTGTTTTGTCTGTCTATATGGTAATGCTTAATAAAGAACAGGGAACAAATGAACAAAATCACTCTGTGTATCAATGTAAAGGGGCGTTAAGCGTGAATAATCAATGAAAAGACACTTCTGCATAGTTCATTTGAAAGAAGTAATATCCGAGCAAGTTGCTCTTCTGCCGACACTAAATGTTTATGTCACAGCAGGTGTTTGACATGCGTACAGAAATATTGCACAGGAATCTTGCTGAAAAAAGTGACGATCATTCCTGAAATTATAAAATAAATTAGTGATGAAGTTGCAACGACAGTGGACTTTAGGAGGACACCCACAACACCGCCCCGCCCCCACCTTGTCCTCACCATCAATGACACTGTGTGGGCTGAGCAGATCTTCAGGTTCTCTCCTGGGGCTTAGGCCTCCAACATCGATACCCTCAGGAAGGCAGCAGAGGTCGAACTTCCGGCGGCAGTCTTATATATATGTATTTATATCCCCTTTTTTAAATGTATTATTTATTATTGTATGTTCTGTGATTTTGCAGAGATCACATGTAACTGGGAGTCAAATCCCATGTGTGCGCATACATGGAGCAGATTCTGATTCTGATATTTAAAAAAAACAACTGATTCCTCTGAATTCAATATAATAATGATGGTCACTTCACTAACGGCTAAAGATATACCACAGGATTCTAGCACATATTATCAGTGAGGAGCAATATGTTGTACAATTACAATGTATTCAGTTCAGAAAAAATAGCATTGAGAAACACACACATTTATTATCTAATTTTTAAAATATATATTTGTGTGTATGGCAATATACACACATATATATATATATATATATATATATATATATATATATATATTATACGCTGATGCTTATATATATATAAGAATTAGCGTCCGTTCCGTTTGAATATGAACGATCCGAGCAGCAGAGGGAGCGCAAGCGCGACGAGGCCGCCCGACGCCCATTGCGCCGGGATGCTGGTGATGATGATGAAGGGAAGGCTGGAGCCGGCGCAAGCGCAGCTGATACAGTCCTCGGCCCGGTTTCCATGGTTACCACACAATAGGCGACGGGACAGGGGGCTGCGTGAAGGGGAGAGAGAGAGAGAGAGAGAGAGAGAGAGAGAGAGAGAGAGAGAGAGAGAGAGAGAGAGAGCGACAGCAGCGGATCGGAGGGGAGGAGGAGGTCTGCAGAGCCGCTTGACTGGACACACCGCTGCAAACCCCCTCCAGCCCCCCCTCCCTCCCTCCCTCCCTCCCTCCCTCACACATACCCACCCACCCTCGACAGACAGACAGACGGACAGAAAGACAGCGAGTCACTGGACGGACATAGTAATGACAGCGGGGGCACGATTTCATTGTCTGTTGCCCGGTTGTTTCATTATTCTGGATGAGTTTAGAGCTCTGTTGGGTCACGTGACGTGGTCATCAGGATGAGATGTTTTCTGCCCGTTGTCCACCTTTCAGACCAGCCGGCCTTGGGAGTAAGTGCGGCACGTGAGAACAAAGAACCATTGGGACACTTGTCCCCCGTTCAGTCTGAGGCGCGAGTCTCTCCGCACAGTAAAGGTGACTCTGGAGGGACCACAGGCAACAGAGACACAGAGACCCTCCCTCACGATCCCCTCCCTCTTTCGGAGTTTTGGCCCCGCTTTCTGCGCCTCTCTTCCTCCTCCTTCTCTCTGCCTCACTACTCCCCTCCTTCTCCTCCTCTTCCTCTAACCTCCCCCCTCACTCCTCATGCAAATCACGCCCTCTCCTCTCTCCCTTTCTCTCACCCGATTGTGCATCCCCTTCTCTGGCTCACCCCTCGGCTTAAAAAAAAATGTGACTGTAAGACCGGAGAGGGGATATAAAAAAAAAAAAAAGTGCAAGTCGTCTTAAAGGAGGAGGAGGGGGGCAGGAGGGTTTGGGGGGGGGGGGGGGTCCAAAAAAAAAAGGGGGGGGGGGGGCGAAAGGGGGTGAGAAAGAGGCGATGGTACGCATCAATTTGTAGTCTTCAGTTGGCACCCCTGTTTTTGTTTTTGGCCCGCAACGAGCAGAAAGAGGTCCGTCTGCGTTATTGTTATTATCGGTGCCCGTTGCAATATGAGCCAGCACGAGCTTCTGTTGACAGACGGCCGGGCTCCGAGGCGTGCGTGTCGGCGTGCAACATAAAACGACGAAACGGAGGCAGAGAAAGGACGAGAGAGTGAGAGTGAGAGCACACATCGCGGGATATCATAGGTAAGTGAAAGAAAGAAGGGGGGGGGGGGGGTATAGATGCTTATAACGTTTATTTGCAGCTACTCCTGCCGGCCACGTTTGTCCTCTCCCTCCCCATGTTTTTTTTCTTCTCCCTTTGTGCTTTAATTATCGTCATACACTCCTGCGTTATGGCTGAATTACGTCCCGGTGAATGCATGGTAACAGAGGGTGCACGACGCGCACCCACATTCCAGCGAGGAAGGAAGAAAAAAAAAAAAAAAGAAGAAAAAAAAGGAGAACCGGTTTCGAAATGCCACGATTCGCCATTCCATATCATCTTTCTTCTTTTAAAAAAAAATATGTTTGGCGTCTACAAACAGTACCGCGCGGGCCATCCGTTCTGATCGGGAACATGGATGTGCTGCTGTAGGTGGACCGCGTTTCCGCCGCGGTAGTCTTGGGAGGCGAAGCGGGGGGGGGGATCGAGCCTTTGGCCGGTCTCCTCCGCTCGCGTATCAATAACATTTCGCAGGGAGAAAGGAGAAAGGAGTCGTTGCGGTGCCTCTGCTCGTGGGTGATGTAAGCGGAGCAACCGCATGCTGCCGCTTTGCATCACATGCGGTGGTCAATTTGTGGATAATGCATGTACTGTGTGGCCGCGCGTGAGCCTGCAAACATGTTAATCCCGTTGTTGCACGTTGGCAATGTGTTTGCGTCCTAGTTGTTTACTGACCAAGGGCCACGGACCTGCCAGGGGACCACATACAGACCATTAGCTGCCACCTGTAACTGAGATGCATTGTGTACACAGGAGCCCAACTGGGCCCGGAGTGACTCCTGCGTGATTAACTTAGTCATATGTATGTTAATTAGACTGACTGTACATACACTGCAGTGCCTATAAATACATGTGCCGTGTTTTTTTCTATTATGCGTATGAACAGTGATTTAACTCTGATTGGATCAGTCACTGCAGCATGCACTAATAATTAATGTATAGCCATGTGTAGTGGAGCTGCTACAGAATTTACAGGATACGAACACACACACAGGATATGGCTCCTATATTACTGGCTGCACAGCGGAGTGTACAACAGCTCTTCTTACTGCTCAGCCAAATATATCTTTTTCTTCCTACATCCAGTGGCGTGGACTATTTATATCCTCATTCAATATACATAAGCAATTTTTTGTCATAGTGGTACATGAATGAATGAATTAGGCCGGCCCTTCCAAAGTAGTCCGCCTATGTTGTCAGGCACACCCAGATAAAGGCTCTAGACATTGTGCATTTCCGTAATGGCTGGGTCAATGGATAAATAAGAATGTGATTCTGCCAGCCATAAGCAGGTCATGTGGGTCAACCACAAGTAGCTGTGGGTTTCGGCTGTTATGGTGAAGGTGGATGGGCGGGATGTGGCCTCGAATCCTTGTTTGCAAGAGTCTTCTGCGGGCCGCCCACCAAAATGCAATCTCCACTGTATTTTTTATCTGCTCTTTCGATGTTGGAATATCCAATTACCAATACGCAGACCAGTGCATTCTGGTAGTTTGAGTGGGTTAACAGATTTTTTGCTACCTTGGTAAAGACAGAAGGCAGAGAGGAAACCGTTTGGAGCACTGTGAAAAACAGTTTTCCGTGTGTGATGCAAGCTGGGAATTTTAATGTTCCAACAATGCTTTTGCAGTTTTGAACTCAGAGGTTTTCATAATGTTACAAATGATTGAACTCAACACAGGGTGTAGGTAGCAAACAATATTGTTTACCACTGCTACCATTCTAATGTTCTTCTGCAAAACATTGAATTCTTTGCAGGATTTGAGAGGCAATAAACACTGAATAATGCTTTCTTTGTTTATGTTCTTTTACAGGTTTTGGTAGCTTCCATGGTGCAACATACAGCTGTCTCAGTAACCAAAAGGAACCACTTCAGTCCCTGCAATGGCTTGTGTTACAAAATGGTCATTTTAAAGAAGAAATAATGAAAACACGGACACACAAAGAATCGGTATGAGCATATATTTTGTCATTGTGGTCAGGGATTGTGTACCTGCTTAATGTAGTACATTTTATATTGTGGCTACATCCTAATTAGTTGAATATGTGATGGTATTAAAATGACTAAGATGTCATTTATTATTTTGGTTATGACATTTATGTTTGACTCCTTTCTCTGCTTACAATCCCTTTTATTTTTATTGCTCTTTCTATCTGTTATGGTCTGTGCTTCTTCCTAGAAACGTTATTCTCCACTTGTTGTTCTATCTACATCCCAACCTGATTTGAACATACTTAGCTTTTTGTATTCACCTTATTTCCACTACATTCAACATATCTCTTATTTAACTCTGTATTTTACTTTATACCTATGAATCTTCATTATTTTATCAAACAATGCTTTCCTATCCTGTCCCAATTCTCCCTCCTTTGCTGTACTTTGGGTTTGTAGATGCCCATGCGCAGTGGGCGACGGCGGGGGGCGAGTGAGGAAAGGAGGGGGAGACGCCCGCACACCAGCCCCACTCGCCCTGAACGCAACGATAGACAGACGGTTAGCACACTTAATTTTTCTTTTTCTTTTTTTCCTTGTGGTGGTATATGTCATACGGTTATGTGTGTGGATGCAAATACAAGAGTCATGAGCAATAAAAAAACTGTGTATAGTCACTTGTGTGTGCGCAGGCATTTGGGTGTGCTGTAAGTGCATGCGTCATCCGTACGATAGCCTTAAACATACCCTTAAAGTGTCAGCATTGTTCGATAGCGTGTTTTATAAAAATCTTTGATTGTTTGTGTTTGACATTGATGTGTGTATGTGTGTGCGTCAGTGGGAGCTTGCATGCGTGTTTACGTGTTTAAGTGAGGCTGTTCTAAAAAACTGTCAAAGGCCTAATAGGGATTCAAAAGCATCACTACAGAATTAAAAGTCTTGTGTTGTTTTAGCAAAGAGCTGCTGGTGAGGAATTGGCTGGAAATCGCTTCAGTCGCAGATCACAAGGGCGTGATTCTTCAGAGAGTGAGGGGGAGGAACTTGTGTCTCCTCCTAAGAGGCAGAAAGTTCAGGTTTGTGTTTCATTGCATCAATCTTTGATGTAGCTAAATTCTCACAAAGTGAATGTCTAGGTTATTACGAGCTTTATTCTAAAATAAAATCATATTTACAAAATGTACCATTTTACCTCATTCAGAAATGCTCTTTTTATTGTCAGGATTCGGCCTCTACCCCAAACCCACCAACATCAACGGACAGCTCGGCTCCTTCCACTGTCCCACCTCCAACCTCAGTCGCCAGCCAATCCCGCGAGAGTGACAATGAAGATGGCCAATCCCAGGGCAGTAGAAGTTCAGTTGTAGGGAGCCTGGCCAATAGTAGCAGCAGTCTGAGCAGTGGGCGGGATATAGACCAGGACAACCGCTCCTCGTCCCCAAGTCTCTCCGCTTCTCCTTTGGGTAGCTTGGACTCTGACTCCGATGGATCCGACTCACCAAAGCAAGGAGAGAGGGAAAGAGAGAAAGGCAAGGAGGGGGGGTTGGGGAAGTGTTTTGTGGACCCGTTAGGAAGTCGGATTCGGAAGGGGAGAGGGGCTAGATCCCCTGTGATATGGGTAAAAGGGAAAATGGTGTCCAGGAATTGAAGGCTGTTCAGTCTGAAATCCTCCCTCCTAACATACCCTTTTGGTTTAACCCCTCTTTCCCGTGGAGCAGAAGACACATCAAAATGACACCGATGAGGCGAGGAAGTCTTATTTCTCCCGGGACTCCAAAATTGATGTGTAAAGTTTGAGTATGGTGGACCGACAGGTGTTGATGGAGCACTTAGGTGCCAGCAGAATGAATTCCAAAGCCAGCACGCAATGTGTCAACAAGACCACTATCTCTGGAGGAGATTTTTCCCTTAACACCCCCAATATTCCCCACTCTTTACCCTCTCCCCTTCCTCCTCCACCTGCACTAAAGCCCTTGGAGCTCGGAGGACAAAACCTGCCTGCTGAGGTTAAGATTGAAAGAGACAAAATAGAAAAGGCAGACAAACTCTTGGACAAGGCTCAGTCTACTCCTCCTTCTCTGTTGCCACAGGCCGGCCCCCAGCAGCAGTCCCAGCCTCAGACCCAACCATCCACCCACCCTCACCACTACAGCTCCACCAGCTGGCAGGGTGGCACCGCAACGGGTTGCCAGGGCAGCTGGGGATACACCCGTTACCCTGGCAACCATCACCCACACCAACCACAGCACCAGCCCCCTGTGCAACAGCAGCAACTTCCTTCTGTTTACAACCCTCCATCCTCTCGCCACTCCTCCTCCCACCCTTCTTACCTCCCCCACCCTCACACCCACCCCCACAGGGAGTACCTTCCCAGGTACGCTGGGGGGGGAGGGGACAGAGAGAGGGGGGCTGTAGGAGAGAGGGAGAGGGGAGTGAGGGGGGAGTGTGTGGGGAGGGAGATCAACAGAGATTTCTCTGCTCCCATTGGCAACAGCAGCAACAATAGTAGTGTGAGTAATAGTACTACTGCTTGTGGTGGGATGGGTGGGTCGAATAGCATCCAAGGCAGGGAGTTTGGTGGTCTTCCAGTGGGTCAGAACCGGGATTTCCAAGGTTCTGGGAGGGATGGACCGAACCAGGGTGCAGAAAGAAGAGACTTTGGTCCAGGTTTCAGAGATAGAGAGCGGGAAAGGGATGGAGGGAGGGAGTTTCCTCTGACAAACCAAAACCAGAGTAGAGACTTTGGCCCCAACGGAACTGGGGGGGGGCATCCCAGAGACAAAGATGGAGGCCGATGGGGGGATTTTGGGGGTCAGACAAGAGAGGTTGTAGGCGTAGGCAACAATAACCCAAACAACAACTCCATTGCCCAGGGAAAACCACCAAATTCAACCGGTGGGCTACCTGCCACCCCAATGCTAAACCGAGACCCACCCTCGTCACCCCAAAGCAACCCAAGTCATCCATCCCATTCCTCCCTGCCCCCACAACCCCATCCGCATCCCCCAAACTCATCCAGCCGAGACTTCCCTCCTACCATGGACCAGGCACAAACCCCTCCTTCTGGAGCAGACCACTTTCACAGAGAGTATCCTCCAACAGGAGGAAAAGACTTTCCTCCCGGTGCTCCTGCATCCACAGGCACAAATCGAGAGTACCTCAGCCCCCCTCGGGTAACTCCAAACTTGGGAAGAGAGTATTCAGGGCCTGTAGGAACCCATCACCCCCACTCAACTCACCCCCACTACCAGTCTGGGCCCAGAGAAAGAGAGAGAGACTCAAACCTGCGAGATTCTGCTTTGTACCAAAACCGTGGAGGGCCAAATCAGCCTCCTGCACTGTCTCCTTCCTCCTCTTCCAGCCATCATGGACACCCACCAAATTCTTCCTTTGCCCCACCACCACCCCAAGCTCCTCTACCCCCATCTCAGACCTCGCACACCCAGCCACCCCTTTCAGGCATTGCACCAAATGTACGTCCCCCGCACTATCAGTCGTCCGCCCAGACCCCTTCAACACCTTTATCTCCATTACCCAGCCCATCCACAAATCAAATGGGAGGCTTCTCATCTTTCTCCCCTGGCTCCTCATCTGGACCCAATATGCCCCCTCCTGGACCAGGTGTGTCACCTGGATGTCGTCCCTCCCCTTTCCATGGTACTTTGAACAGCCACCCTCCTTTCAGTGGAACTTACCACTCCAATGGTAGTGGCAGTAACAGCAATAGCAACAGTAGCGCACCCAATAGCAGCAATACCAACTCACAGGCAGTCTCACCTCAAAATGTTTCAAAAGGACCTCCACCTCTTAGTAACTCAGCCAACAACAATAGCAGCATTTCAACCCCTGCTTCCAGTTCTTCAGTCTCGGGCGGAGACGGACATTTGGATTCTGGCCCACCTCCCACACCTGTTATCAAAGAAGAACCAATAGAAGAAAGGGAAGAGACTGAAAGCCCACCACCGGTGTTGAGAAGTCCCTCTCCTGAACCAAAACCAGTAGACATTCCCATCCACGCCAGTCAATCAGCAAGGTAAAGTCAAAACAACATCTTCATTCTAATGAAAAAAGTCAATGCGTTGCCTAATTCATACCATCTAAATGTGATCAGATGTAATTAACAGTAATAGTGATTTTTGAAATTTATCCTGTAGCGATATTTTACTCTGCTGTCTCGTGTGTGTCCAGGTTTCACAAGGTCCTGGACCGTGGTAGCGCAAATTCCTGTGCCCGCAGTGATGTCCTTTTTGTCCCTTTGGACGGCTCCAAACTGTGGAAGAAGAGGAATGAGGTGATCGAAAGGGCTCGCAGGGAGGTTGAGCAGCGGGCCAGAGACCTCAGAGAAAAAGAGAGAGAGCGGGAGAGGGAGCGGGAGCGTGAGAGGGAACTAGATCGACATCTACAGGTGCGTACTTTTAAGAGTGATAATTACGCTGCATATCAGATTTCATGGATTTGATGTAGATTAAATTGTTCATTTTAAGATTTGATTTACTGTTTTTTACTGTTTTCTCTGCAGCAGCAGAAGGATATTAACGCCGCTGGAGGGGGTCGCCAGGGGTCCTCTCTCTTCTTCCCCTCCTCGTCTTCGATCATCCTTGACCCTTCATCTTCTTCCTCTTCCTCTAACAACTCTGTCTCCCACCCTCCCCATCACCCCCAACATCATCACTCCCATCCGCATGCTCACCTTGCTCAAGCCCACCATCTCCACCCAAGCCTGGCTCACTCCATTCCCCACTCCCTCCTTCTGCCATCCATGGGTGGGACATCTACAGTTGTTGGCCCCCAAGGAGCCCTTGGAATAGGTTTAGGAGGTCCATATCTGGGCCCTGACACCCCAGCACTGAGAACCCTGAGCGAGTATGCTCGCCCTCATGCTATGTCTCCACTCGGAGCAGCAAGTCGTGCCCAAGCGCACCACGCGCAAGTTCACCATGGACATCCCCACGTCCACCCATCATTCTTCCTTCCTCAGTTCCAGAATCATGCTTTAGGCCACCCGCATCACCTGCCAACTGATGCAGCTACGGCTGCAGCCATCTTGGGTTTTCTGTATGGTGGCAGCCTTGAAGGGGGTCCAGGTGTTGGAGGCCACGCTGGAATGGCAGGAGGGCCAATACCGGGAGGGATGGGGGGTGCAGGGTTTGGAGGAGTCGGCTTTCCCCATGCAGTGGCTGCACATCGAGAGCGAATGAAGCAAGGATTTGAATTTAAGAGTGATGAGCGGATTTACCAGCCAGGAGCAATGCCTGATCACGCTGCTCTTGCCCTTGCTCACTCTCATTCTCATGCCCATGCTCATGCCCATGCTCATGCTCATGCACATGCTCATGCACAAGCCCAAGCCCAAGCCCAGGCCCAGGCACAAGCCCAAGCCCAAGCCCATGCCAATGCCCATGCGCACGCACATGCACATGCACATGCACACACACATGCACACTCCCTGCTACTTGGAGGAGGTGCAACAGGAACTAATGAGGTGACACTATATGGCACTCCTCCTCCTCCCACTCCGACTGGCCCCCCGCACCTGCAGAGCCCTACCCTGGCCCCAGTAACTCGACCCCCCAACCCTCCTGCCTCTCAGTCCTTGTCCAATCCACCCCCTTCATCTCTCCTAACACCCACTCTTCCCTCTCACCCATCATCGGCACCACCGGCTGCCCCCCCAACCCCAACAGGCCCAGCTGCTCCTCCGCCAGCTCCTCCTCCACCTGCTCCACCAACATCCAATGCCTCCTCGCTTCATCATCCGGTCCCCCATTCTTCTTTTCCCAGCTCCCTGTCCTCTCATTTGCCACCAGCCGCTACTCCAGCCGCTCCCCCAGATAACTACCCCACTCCTACTCGCTCTCCTGCCCCCTATGAGCGCGACAGGAGTGGGGAAAGAGAGCGGGAGAGGGAGAGAGACAGAGCAGCTTTGCCGGCATTTGGGGACAGAGAGCGAGAAAGAGAAAGGGAGAGAGAAAGAGAAAGGGGAGGAAGTGGTGGAAATGGAGGAGGAGGAACAGGAGGAGGAACGGGAGGAGGAGGAGGAGGAGGAGCGGGAGGAGGAACAGGAGGAAATGGAGGTGGAGGAGAGAATCTGGGACGTCTTCAGATGTTGAATGTGACACCTCATCATCACCAGCATTCCCACATCCACTCACACCTTCACCTGCACCAGCAAGACACAGGTACTAACCACTTCTGCTACGAATGCTCCCTTTATCCATATCAACAACCTTAAGATTACCCAAATTTAGATAAAAAATAATTGTTAATTGTTGACACCTGAATACTAAAAAAGTAAAGGATAAGGCGTGCTATTTTCTATTACCATAGACCTCTGTTATTGTCCAATAAATAATCTAAGAGCCATTAGCCGCACCGTAGTGGATGACACATTCCTTCTTCAGGATGGGTTTTGTAGTCTATATGGAGTCAATCCCACATGCACCACGCAGTTTATGCTGGATTGATACACCACATTTGTCTAATCTATGGGCTAAAGATATTCTCTAACAAATGTGCGATTTACTCCTGCTGGGGTCATATTTGCTGGTCTGCAGCCACAGCGGTTTTAGGGGATTGCTTTTTTTAAAGAAATTGTTTAACAATGAGCTTGGGCTTGTTTTCCACGGACACTTCAGGGAACTGATCATTTAGCTGTACTTAAATTGTGGCTGGTAAGAAAAACAAAGCGAGCCTTATCCTTTAACTTTAAAGTGAATAATTTTACTTTTCTGTAGTTCCTCATTGAACTCTTTCATTTCAAGGGATATTGGGTCATAGTTTACTCTGTCATCTGACTCATTTGTTCAAATGTTCCAAGCTTTAAAGTACAAAGTCCCTAAGGAGATGTTAGTTTTCTCAGATCTCAGTTTAGTAACACCAATTAGCCTTTATCGGGCTTTTGTCTCTTTGAAAGAAGTTGTGTTTAAAGTAAAATATTGTAAAAACTATTAGCGTTTGTTGTGGCACGGTGGGGAGGTGGTCTGCATGATTGCTCCCAGTGGTTCAGGGTTTGAACATGCCGGTCGGCGTGAGTCTTTCTGTGCAGAGTTTGCATGTTCTCCCCACATTAGCGAGGGTGGTCCTTCCAGTCCAAAGACTTACAGGTTAGGTCATTCAGGTTAATTTGTTGCTCTAAATTTCCTGTAAGTGTGAATGTGAGCATGAATAGTTGTCTGTCCTTATGGCCCAACTCCAATCTGGTTCCTACAACCTACCCCTCCTCCCACATGGAGGGTGGGTTATAAGATTCACAAAAGAGCAAGTCTACATTGATACTGATAAACCTAGCTGCCCCTGACCACTTGCCAACACACTAAATGTAATCATAAGCTGCTCAAACTAATATAGACTTTTCAGCAATCTTTTTTACACTGTTGTAATACATTCTAGTATAATGCATGTATTTCTACTGACATACAAATAGTTTTTATACTTCCTCTACATTTATATCTTATATTTTATAATGGGAGCAACTGTAAGGTAATCCAATTTCTTTATGGATATTTGTTTATCTTTTCCTGGAACTTGCAGCTGTATTAATGCCTACGACTTAATAAAAGTGTGCTTCATTCAGCTGTGAGTGTGAGTACAAACAGAGTTCACTCCGTCCTGCGGTGGGAAGGTGTTTGGACTGGTTTGGAATTGGGCCAATGTTGCTCTGCTCTGTGAATACCTTGCGACCTGTCCAGGGTGTGCCCCGCCTCTCGCTCAATGTCAGCCAGGATCAGCTCCAGCCCCCCTCCCCCGCAACCCTTTAAAGGAATATGCTGTAACTGATAATTGATATTTGCATTTTGCATATTATTGCATATATTGCACTTTAGCAAAAGCCATTATGTTCACTGACTCTGCACTGCCTCCAGAATCCAGATTTCTGTGACTTTATTCGATTGTCTCAGCCGCTCGTGTGTTTCCAAGAATCATACATATCTTAAATGTAGCATAATGTATTAATGTTAGTGTATTACATGCTGTGTGCATTATCTTTGTTTTGAATTCATAATTTGACTCTTATTAAATATCTCCTGTATTTCCTATTACATCACTGGCATCCAGCGACGGGCGGGGTACTACCCCTGATGGACCCGTTGGCGTCGGGGTCTCCTTTGACACGCCTCCCTTACCCAGGAGCCACACTAGGCACCCCCATCCTGGCTCACCCCCTCACTGACAGCGAGGTGCTCCGCCAACAGCTGTTCGGTGAGGAGAAGGCTCCTCGTCCATGTACTTGTTCAGTTTTTCTCTCTTAAAAGCTCCAAAGAGCTGAAAGTTTATGAAGAGGATTTTTGAATACGATGACGATGACGATTCACATTGGGGCCTTTTCGGCTCCATTATTTCTCCATTTTCCTTTTTTATCCCCACCTGCTCCTCCTCTTTTCTCTTTCTCTCTTTTTTCCTTTTTTTAGGTGCTCCTTTCCGTGACCTGCCCCAGCCGTCCTCCCTCACTGGTCCTATGTCGGCAGCCCATCAGCTGCAGGCCATGCAGCAGGCCCAGAGCGCAGAGCTGCAGATCCAGCGACTGGCTCTGGAACAACAGTGGATCCATCACCATCACCACCACTCCCTCACCCAGGACGAGTATTACAGGTACGCAGGCTGTGTGTGTCCATTGGTTGGGCCTATTTTTTATTGTAGCAGAGAGAAACAATATTCTGAATTTTTTTCTAATTACAGGGAAAAGTCCAAAGTTGTATATGTGTATGGTCCAAGAAATAGAAAAGTCAAATCTCAGATCTAAACCCATGTATTATATATCTATATTTCATCTGTCACCAGGTTAATGCAATTAATTGGCTACACTCTTTCCTTATACCCATTTTGACTTTTCTTGAAACAATACATTTCATGATTGCCAGAGAATTTCTTAAAATAACCATTCTCGACTTGGCAAACAACAGTGGCCATAGATTTGACATTATCCCTGCTACTTTATTGGGACACGTCAGGTAACAGAAATCTCAATTTCTAGTTATTATATTTTGATCAACTTTTAACAAGCCTTAATCATTGGTTGATTCTACAAACAACACAAATGAACACAACTCTTACTGTTGCCTTGATGACACTTAGCAGCCATGGCCGTCTGTATAAATTGCCTTTTAGTTTGTTACAATTAGCCTGTAAAGCTTTGATTTACCGCTTGTGGTGTTGGCAATGTTTGTTCCCTTTGTGCATATTTGATTCCCGAGAAATATAAAGTAAGGACTCGATAAAGCTTTTAAAATGTTCCCCCACCCTAAAAAAACAATAGATGCTGCAATTATGTGAACTGAAATTAGACCATAACCTTGGCTGTGACCTTTACCTCCAAATTGGACATTAAAATGCTTTCCCCTTTGACCTTTCAGTCACCTGAAGAAGGAAAGTGACAAATCCCTGTGAGGGAGGGGTACGACAAAGAGCAACATGGAGAAAAAACGAGGGAAAATCTGTGCAAAATGAAACGCAAAAGAAAAGGCTCTGACGACAACAACAAAGAAAGCAAAGACTCCAAACGAAAGCTGGACTAATGGACGGGGAACCTACTGAAGAAAACAAGAAGCTTCTTGAAGGATTAAGGAAAGAAGGGCGCCTGAAAATGTTGCACACAATCCCTGCTAGCTGCACCACGTTGAAGATCCAGACTCTGGCGCTTCCCCGCATAATGTTCTCAAACTCCAGTCCTGTTTTGTATCGTGCTCTGTACAGTATATTAGATGGGAGAGGCCATAGTGAAGTACAGTATGTGTAAAATACTCGATGCCAGAAGGAATGTGTACATGAGTCTCTTTTATGTCTTTGCATGTAGCTAGGCGCTTATTCTGAACTGGTGGAACTTTTGGTTCTGTTTTTAGTAATTACCCCCCTCATTTGTATTTGAGGGGCGTTCTATATGCATGAGACCAGCAATTTAGTGTTATGTTATGTTTATTATCAATAGTGTTGTTATTATGATTAATGTTGTCTGTTTGTTGATAATGATATAATTATATATACAGTACATATTATTTGTATTATTTTTTTACATTTTCATGGTATGGCAGTTGGTTTTTATTTTATTTTTTATTTTCAATTTACCTTGTGAAACAAGATGCAAATGAAGGAAAAAAAATCTGGAAATAAATTATAATCTTTTTTTGCTGGTCCCTGGCGTATTCAGGCGTGCGCTATTCGCCCCCCCCACTCACACACGTTCAGACTATTTGCCCCGTCTTTGTTTTATACAAGTCACTCATGCACAAAGCATATCAAATTCCTGACTCTGCTCCCCCTCCCCCTCGCCCTCTCTCCCTCTCTCTCTCTCCCCCCCTCTTTCTCTGTGTCCCTCCCTCCCTGGTTGAGTGTAGCTAATAGGAGACACATGGGATGAGTGTGAACATGGGAGTTGAGGCGCTCCACTGAACACCAGCCACCCTGTAGAGCATGCATTCCTTACTGCACAGCAGAAATGAAATGAAAGAAATATATATATATATATATATATATATATATATATATATACGAGAGAAATGAAAAAGGAGAGTGAAAGAAGGAGGTGTGAGAGTGTGATTTACCGTTGAAGGTTCAGGGCTGTGTGTTTTCTCACCGTGTCTGGCTGGAGGAATCTCCTTCAAAAAGACACGGATCACTGAATACAGCCTTCATCCTATAATACAAAACCACTGCTGGCTGGCAGCGCCTTTACAATATTAACATTTTGTTAACATAATGCACCACATTTTGATACTGTTAAAGTAGTCAGTAGTACATCACTTTTCTTTATATTTGTAACACAATCATTTACTGATTGCTTGATAGCCGTATCTGTAAAAACATCTAAGTCAGGAGAGTGACATTGGATGTGTGGATACTGTGGAGGGCATGCTCGTTAGTTGGTATGTAGGTTGTGTGTCATTTAAAGTCACCTTGAATAAGTGTGTCAACATAATGTAAAGTACCCTCTAGCAGGACAAATTTGATTTTCCCCCTCTGGTGGCATCACATCTGGGAGATATTCTTAGCACTTCATCAGTCACCCCTCAGGGTGGATAAGAATGTTATGAAAGGTGTCGATGAAAGATGTTTAAACGCTGCATTTCATATAGACCTAGAGTTATAAATACAGCCTCTTCTAGCAATATAGGATGTCAAATACATGTTATCCTTAGCAGCTCTTGTTCTCAAGTCTCAGACAAATATTTGCAATTAATTCTTATTCTTTCATAATGTCCTACTTTTAGTGCAGGATAGTGTTAAGACTGTAGAGTGCGTCCCAGTGGATTATGAAATTGTCTATAATTATATGTATTGTCAGTGATAACAGAACGCAATCTGAAAATGAAAACAAGAATACCTTTTTATTTTGCCAGAAAGAGACAGTTTTGACTGTATCTGCTCCTAAACCATAACGACAATGGGCAAAGTGACCCAAGTGCCGGCTGAGGAGAAGAATCCGTGGCCTTTTTTTACCACCTCTCACCTGTAGGATGGGACTCTTCTGACCTTTTCCTCACTCCACTCCACCCTGGAGAAGATGATCCCACAAGATCATCTTAAGGCCTTGCTTAAGTCATTCCTTAAGTGGTTGTAGACGGAATGCGGGGGACCAGATCTCTTCGCCTCCTTCCACTATACACACCAGGAAGTTTGCAAGAATCCTAACATCTCGGTTAAAGATTATTGGCGTTACCAAGTAGCCCACATTTAAAACAGTCTATGATATAATAAAGAAAATGGATGAATGTTCTGTGGGTCGAGGAACGGCATTGAAAGGAATAGGTTTACGAGGCTTCTCTCAACCCATTTATTAAACAACAGCTGTTTGACACAATGAGGTGATGACAGTTGGAGAAGCCGCCATGGTGTCTGTTTCATACTCATCCGTCATGTGTGGAAAGCTCCACTTTGAATTTACTTGCCCTACTTGTTCCTTTGGGAGTTTTTATTGTCTTCTCTGGGAATTCAAGGTACAGAGTAAGCTAGTTTTTCCAATATGCTTTTGACAAAACATTTTTTATAATCACGAAAGAAAAGGGAAACTAGACAACAGGTTTGTTAAGTGTTGTTTAGTTCACTCAAATAAAAATAGAAAACAGTGCCGGTTTTGGATTAAAAAAACAATACATCCATCCGACACAATGTTGGGTTTGAGCTGTTGGCCTTGCCATATTTGAGAAATTGAACACATGATTTATTGGAAAACTCAAAACTTTCAAATAAAAAACATATTTTCCATCTGTGTCAAGTCCAAAAGTCTGTGTTTCCAACTCCATGGCTACGATTTGGTAAAGCCCAGACTGACAATGGTTTATCAAATGAGGATACTTTTCTGAGTGTCTTGTGGTTAACTGACCTCCAGTCCACCCAACATTTTGGGGCAGAACTGGAACGTTGACTGTTTGTCAGGCACCGTCACCCAACTTCAGCGTCCAACTTCCCTCACGCTCTCGGGACTGAGTGTGACCAGGTCGCAACACTCGTGTAGAACACCTTTATTTCCAGGAGTGTAGATGCCCCTCACAGCACCCACCTATAAGCGTATGGTTATAGGGTGGGATGTCCACACACTTTTGTACTACTTTTGTTCCGCCAAAGGCTATGAACGGAGCCACACTTCCCTCTTTATTCACAGTTATCTATTCAAGGAGCACTTACAGACATTTCAATAGTCTTTTTCAGTTCATACTCTCTTTCTATTTATGCGTCAGCTTGCTCAATAAAACAACTTGAAGTGTTGATAATAACTGTGCTTAGTGGCCTGCGCCGTTCTTTGTTCATGCTCCAACGTTGTAGAAGATCTTGTTGAACTGGAATATTATTACAGGCTACACTCACTCATTGGAGAGCTCTCATGCACATTCAGTCACCCTGTTCAATAAACCACTTAGTACAAGTAGGCAATTAAAAGCATGACACAAGATCTCTTTGAAGTTAACAATCTGGATTGAAATAAATGACTTGTGCCATGGGGCTCTGCTCAAAGTGACTGAACAAACATTTTACCATTGTTACAGAAAAGTTCAAACTTCAATCTGTGAATATTTATGTGTCCCGGCAGGGGAAAAATCCTTTTTGAAGGATTTCAAATCTGAATCTCCTCTGCTGTTAGGTAGTGTAGTTTATAAATTATTATTATGTTTTCCTGCTGAATCTCCAAAAATAGCAATGTGTTTCCTATTAGCTCTTTGGGATGGAACTCACTCTTTGTTCCATTCAAATGGTTATAAAAAGTGTCAGGTATCAAAGAAAACCAATACTGTATGTATTCGCTGAAAACGTCCCATCCTCGTAAAGAATTGGTGCTTTTTTAATCCATTTTGTAGTCAGTTAAACCTCTTTATTCTAATACACCTGTGATTGGTAACGACAAACCTACAAGATTTAAGATTAATAAATGCTGAAAATAATTCTTAAAAAATAAAACCGTTTAATTTGTACAATAAAATAAAAAAAAGATTCACAGATGAAAGAAATACTGAAAAAGATTTTGAAAAATAGGGGCTAGGATTTGAAAAGGAAACTATTAAAACAAATCTGAAATTGAAATGTAAAATCTGAACTTTTGTTAAAACAAATGATATTTAAAGAATTAGAATGTTTTTTTCTATAAAGCAAAATTTCAATTAAAAAAAAGTTGGATAAATAACAACTAGTTTTGAATGAATTATATTTTATAGTATTATTCTGAATGTGAATCTGAAAATACGTCACTAGAGAAAATATAATGAATTCCAGTACTTGAGTAAATACACTTATTCGCTTCAAACCATTACCAGATGCATTCAATTCTTAGAATAGAAAAACAAACTCAAATATTTCAAATTGGTGTGTGACTTGTGAATGAAATGCAGTTACTGCCACCTACTGGAGTGCTGTGCAACTTCCCTTTTCTTGCATGTTCCTGCAGGAGAAAGCATAACCCATTCAAAAATGCCAGCAGTTCCATTTTATTCTGAAAGAAAACATTCACCATAACATTTATAAAAAGCTATCCCTTTCAATCAATTTCTTCACTTTGTTTGCACATGTTTTACTGGCTTTCAAGGCTTAATGAGGTCCATGCACAATATAATTTACTACAAAGTATATAAAACAAAACATTCTTTGCTCTGTCTACCACACAGTAACAACAAGACCAATACGGTGGACATCAGCGTGCTTTCAAAGAGGGTCATACGAGCATGTTGTCCCTCTTATGCAAGCTTCTAACGTGTCTGCCTAGAGACTCCATCCACTTGAAGGATTTGCCACAATAATTGCAGACAAACTGCTTCCCCTCCGTGTGGATCGTCTGGTGCCTGTTGAGGGCGCTCGTTGTGATGAACGTCTTCCTGCATATGTCACACCTGTACGGCCTCTCGCCCGTGTGCGTCCTGATGTGCGCCGCGAGGTGGGAGCAGTTGCTGAAGCGCTTCTCGCACACGGAGCAGCAGTAGGGTTTCTCTTTGCCCTCCTCGCCGTGGTGGCTCGCGTGGTACGGCTGGAAGAGCAACGCGGGCTCCTGCAGGCTGCTCCTCGGGCTGGCAGGAGACAGGATGAAGTCTTTGATGTCGGATTCGAGGCTGTCGAGCTGCTCCTCCGCGTCGTGGCCGTGCCAGAAATCCCGGTGCGCCTTGAACTGCTGCTCCTTCTTCACCTGTGGGGGCTCTGGGTGCTCCTGATCCATGCTGGAGCTCCCGTCCTCCTCGCAGGGCTGCGACTCGGGAGGCTCCGCCGAAGGCACTGCCGGATGGAGCTGCTGCTGGGGAGGAGGAGGAGGAGGTGGTGGTGGAGGAGGGTGGTGGTGATGGTTGAGCTGCTGCAGCTGGACACCGAGGCATCTCTCCAGCCGGGGCTCTAGGGTAGAAAAGACAGCACGCGTGTAAAACGAAATGAATGCGCAGCGACGCGAGGTTTGGTCACACGCGGCTTCCATTCAAACCAACCTGACTTGAGAAGCCTCAGCTGCGTCCTGAGACGACTGATTTCTAAATCTTTGGCCCGGGAAATCTCCTCTTTGTACTCGGCTATTGTGTTTTCGACGGCTCCGAATATCTCCTCCGCCGCCGCGGTGAGTCTCTCGCTGAGGAAGGCTCTCAGGGACTGCATTCTGGGACGTTTGCAAGGTGCAATGGAGACGTATTCTAGTCCCTGAACGTCACGCTCCGCTTGTAAACACTGACACACAAAGGGCTCACTGCGGGGCGCTGCTGCCCCCTGCTGGACCGGCGTGCAGAGAGACGGAGGCCTATTCATTTTATACATGACACAATATCTACTTTTAAATGGCTTTGCATATAAACGACGTTACTCAAATGCAAGATCTCGTGGCTATTTTAGAAGGGAACAGTTTTAAGATACCTGGGAATCGGTCTTAATTTAAATACTGGATTTGATCATTTGATGGTAGGGCCTACAGGCAGCTCTGCCCCCCCAACTATGAGGCCTTTCTTCCACTATACAATAGTTGCACTATATTATACTTATTTTGATAACTGCCATGTTTCGTGAAATGTTTCATAGCTTTTGAATTTGTTACATCATATTTTGGTAATCTCATCCTCCTGTATGTACTGTGCACACAGCATTGTTGTAACCCAAAGTGGTTCCGTCCTGTGGCCGTTTCAACACAGTGGGAATATAAAAAAGACAGCCTCTGGGGGAGAAACTATTTGGCTAGAACGTATTTGCTGAAGACAGATTGTGGATTAACTTTGACCTGAGCTGCCAAGACCGTTTTTGACGTCAGGAGAGTGCGATGTTTGAGGGGGAGAAATATGGTATTAAGGCAGAAACCAACAAGCCTTGAAATCTGAGATGAGGTAGTCTTAAAAGCTTTGGGGTTTATTTTCAAACTTTTCATAAAGTTGCAAAATCTGTGATTTACAATCTAATGTCCCGTTACACTCGTCTCTCACTGCTGTGTGAGTTTGGTGCCTGGAAAATAAAACAAGCACAAGCAAGCAAACACACTGAAACCGTTTATTTCACCTTACAGCCTTGCTCACGTATACCCGTCGGCCATGACACAGTGATTAACATGAAATGGATGCTTCCCTCTTGGCAAAGCAGGCAATGAACGAGGGATCGCACACACACGTCTACGAGGAGGTAAAAGCCACAGGACATAATTACCCACAGACATGGATATTAAAGACAAATCCAACTGAATAACAAAATCTGTGACACGGTTTACACAAAATAAAGTTGGTAAACTCTTAAGTAAAAAGCGTGGGCCAGCCATCCATCTCAAGGTGTAATTGTAAGTCTTTATAGCTTGAGCAGATGGTGAGAAAGTTAGTTTGCACGCAGACTATTCTCAGTGGACTTTACTTGTTTCAGTGCACGCGTCACGCTGTCCCTTAGTCACAACAAAATGGTAGAAATTTTAAAATAAGGAAAAAACGGGGGTATAGCATCATTACACTGAATACAAACAGGAAGAAGACTAAGTGCTGAGTGTGAGGGATGACGGAACTTTATTGTATCAATGGAGTTGGCCTCTGATCCGGACATGGTCACTTTTTATTTTTTTTTTATGCCTTGGCGTTTATGATTTCGACAAACTCTGGCTTGAGGGAGGCTCCGCCGACAAGGAACCCGTCAACGTCCTTCTGGGAAGCAAGTTCTTTGCAGGTAGCGCCCGTCACAGAACCTGAGGAGAAGAAGAGATTCATAGCGAGAGACCAAACCTGGGAAAGCCAATTAAGAACACGACGACAAGCGCCATGTCGTCACGCCGCCTGACCTCCATAGATGATCCTCACGGAGTTCGCTACAGCCTCGGACACGTTGGTCTTCAGCCAGGCCCTCAGTTTCTCGTGAACTTCCTGAGCCTGAGACATCATTCAGAAAACGGGTGCATTACGACGAGTTATAAGAGATTGCGGTAATAATTTGCAGTGGTTGCTAGTGTTTACCTGCTGCGGGGAAGCAGTCTTGCCGGTGCCAATGGCCCACACTGGCTCGTACGCAAGCACAACCTTGCTCCAGTCCTTCACATTGTCTGCGAGAGAGACATGCGATAAGACTTGAATTCATATTTCGCAAAGTCTGCTTTCCACTGCACTGTAGCTGGCAAAGAAATTGCCCCAGAGACGTTGATTATAACATTTACACTCCGGGTCGGCGAGGGGCCACGTACCTGCGATGACTTTGGTCTGGGCGAAGACCACCTTCTCCGTGATGCCGCCCTCCCTCTCGTCCAGCTTCTCGCCGATGCAGGCGATGACGCCGAGACCGGACTCCAGAGCGTGGGCGGTCTTCTGGCCAATGAGCTATCAACACACATCAAGATCTGCTCACAGAGTGCACGACGGAGGAACGGCGCCCTTTTTGGTTCACTTGATGGACGCAACTCTTCCTGTACAGCGCGCCGCTTCATTGCGGCCAATGTAGCTGGTGCAAAAGGGAAGATCAAGTCATCCAGAATTACCTCATCACTTTCCCCGAAGACGTGGCGCCTCTCAGAGTGTCCCAGGATCACCCAGTTCACGCCGCAGTCCTTGATCATTGCAGGGCTGAAGACAGAATTACATAGAATAGAAGGGATCAATTAAAGATGGCTTTTGCATCTGACAGAGGTCCTGTTCCTCTGATGGACACACGACCCACCTGATCTCCCCGGTGAAGGCCCCCTTGGCAACTTTGTAGCAGTTCTGAGCAGCAACCCCAAACTTGTCATCCAGCTTGGACCTGGCGAAGTCCAGGTAGATCGAAGGAGCGCCGCACACCACCTCTGAGCGGAGACAAAGAAAACAATGGTTAGGGGGTGTTAGAGTTACTCATAAAACCAAAAAACATTTTGAGACAAATGATTCAATATTAGTTTGGGATTTACTTTTGGTTAGTTAAAAGATGAACTACCTAAATAAGGGGGATTAGAGTTCTTGCTTTAGGATAATTACAACACTTTATACACTGCTCATATTCCTTGAAAATGCATACAAACCACCGGCACAGTGATTACAGGACTACAGCTACCACTAAGCCATCCGGTCCATGACGCGAGCCTGAAGCGGTCGGTTAACGGACGACATGTTTAACCACTGAACAGTTGCAAAGTGCAAGGCCTGCATCCAAAAGTATTTCAACACGCAGGAGACTAAATGGACAAATTCAGATCAATCTTTTTGAACATGAGGTTTAAAAGCGTCACAACTATGGTTTTCCATTTTACAAATTTCCCCCTAAATAAAATAAAAATATAAATTATAGATCTATAGGCTCACTCACGCTAGTAATGCTTGTTGCAGTAACACTGGAAGCAAACACCAGATGTGTCCATCCAACCAAATAAGCAATGTCAATATAAATGTCCACAGCCACTCAAATGCCAAAGTCTATCATGAAACTCAAAATAAATGGTGTAACGGTTTCTCTGGTGAAGTTTACAAAAATAACGTTCAATAATGATCTTAACAAATCAAACAGCAACCTGGTTTGCAAGGTTTAACCAGAGTGCAGCGAAGTGAAGACACTGACATTCAAAATGAAAATATCTTGAGCGTTAGTAGAGTCTATATTAAACCTGTTATTATTGGTTTGGTAAAGGTCATTGCTTCCCAGCCTTGGCCCGGGCTGACTGCGTTAAAAAAAGGTCAGAGTTCAGCCTTTTAAAGGTCGCCTACATGGCTGCATTCTGTAGAGGTCAGAGAAGGACGATCAGAGTTTAAATATCAAACATATAAAGAGAATCAGTCGAGTGGGAACTTTGGAAAAAAATAAAAATAAAAAAAGACTGGAAAAGTCTGCTGAAGATTCACTGTGGTACTCTAAGGATTCATTAATGGAGGAAGGTGCAAGGATAGTGACAACTAAGAGCCTAAAATGAGTGACAGTACACCACATTTAAGGTTGCATAACATAAACTTCGCAGGAGAACAACTGGCTCTGTGACAGTGGATTCCAGAGTAGAAACAGGCCTCAACAAAGTCAACCTCCAATGCCTTGATTTTTGTATTAAGGGTACGGAATGAAATCTCTCTACATTTATACAATATCTACTTTACGGACATTTCTGATTGTCATCGGTTTCCTTCCAACTACTCCCCGTATAAAACCAAGCGAAGCTTACAACAGGCCACCGTATCTTCTTTGGTTAGCAGATGGGAGACGAGCGACCTCATTAGCGAGCGGCCTCCCCTGAATGCACCATGCACGCGCACATCGTCTGCTGGTCTACGTGCGGCTGCAAACGCGCACCCACCATCAAATGCTGCAAAACCCACCCTCATTTTATGCATTTCGGGCCGGGGCTTGGTGTTTATTCAGTTAAAAACAAATAGCTACATGATTATTTTTTTTAAAAAAAGGTCAAAACTGAGCAGCCGTGTCCGCGGTGTCATTGAATTATTGAATGGACGAGCCATTTTGAGTCAGAGGGATTCAGTTGTGACTTTCAATGAGGAAACGACGCCACGAGCAAGTAGCCACGGGGGCTGGAATCAATGCCGTGCTGATAAGCAAAAAACAAGTGGCTGAAGTGATACATTTAAAAAAAAAGGAGGAGGGATTCTGTGTAACGGCTGATGAACCTGAAACATACCGACGTTAGGATCCACTTTGGCTGCGTTCAGGGTCTGCGCGAGCTCGCCGAGGCTCTTCTTGTCCCCGTTCAGCTTCCAGTTTCCGCCAACGAAGAATTTCCTGCTCATGATTGCGATTTGTTTGACGTTTTGCTGAGAAATAACCGTTTCGGAGGGGGTGGTAACGAGGCCAGCGACGTCTATCTTTCCTGGAGTGAGGGCGGAGGTGTGGGCAAAGAGCAGCTCACAGTATTTATGAACATGGGAAAGTTAAACCCCTCCTCTCCGCCGGCTCCATTGGTTTACGGTGACGGCCCGTAAACGCGTCTCCACCTTGGAGGAAGGGAAAGAGGCATGCCGCGTTCAAGTGCTCTGTGTAAAACCTTCCTATACAAGGACTAACTGTTATAAGGGGCTAGCTGAACAAAAATAACAATGCAGATAAGCATAAATGACAAATGCCTTTGTGTGAAATGTGGCAATATAACAATGTATATTTATTTTAAGGTACTCTCGTACTTTTACTCCAGAGGGAAATATTGTATATGTTATAATCTGCTGAATTTATTTTACACTTATAGTGGTTATTTACTGTTAACATTAGAAAACGATTAGAAAATGATTTGCAATACTAATGTAACCAGTAGTATTAAAAGTATGTTAAATTGGCTCTACAGGGCTCTTGTATGTATTTGCAAGCGATAAAATCAACATAATAAATCATTTTCACAAGGCTTCTACTAGTGATGGGCTATTTAAGAACATAATATCTATATTTAGATAATAATGACTTTATCTTAAACAAGGTTGGACAGGTGTGCTCCATACAATAATTGGAATAGGATTCATTTGTTTCTACACCCGTCATTCCAGCGGAACCATGTTTGCTTCGCTGCTGGTCCTTTAGACAGTAAAGCTAAAAAATAAACTGTTCTCTCCACAAATCTAAATAACTGATTTTTAGGTGCAGTTTTGAAACTGCCAAGTTAAATCACTTCAGAAAAAAATATTGAATCACAACTTCCTGTTTACTTAACAGGTAATTATTATCAATCAAAGCCACGCTAATTGTGTCAAATAAACAATTATAAATGCTGATGTAACACCTGTGATTCTAAATGCATAGACTAATCAACATGTATTTATTCTGACAATGGTAACAACAGAAACTGCATCATTGACCACATTTATCACAAAAAATTATACACAATGACATTGTGATCTGTGATAGGGAGGCCGACGCTATGACGATCCACCGTCTGATTGGCTGAGACGACCAAAGTCCCACAATCCTCTTACGCGTCGTGGGCGGTGCCGCAATTTGAAGATATCTGATTGGAGGGTTCTCCGTCTGTTTTGCATACCCAGTTTGCACTGCGTCCAAGAAATAAGTAGAACATGTGTTCTTATGTGCATATTTTGATTTGTTTGAGATACATTTTGTCATAATAATATGCTGCAACCTTGGTATTATGGTAGTTACTTGGTTTGTTGTGACTGGTGACAAAAATGAAACCGTGGAGATGAGGCATACATTCGGTGTACAAGTACTGCCAGGCTCCCGTGTAATCAGCAGGAATCTATATGCTCTTTAGATATTTTTCTAGTAGGTTTCTCGTAAAGAGAAGCCCTCAATGGCTGTTAAAAACAAAAAATACGTCGTGCACATATTAACGCAGTGATGAATCATACGTACGCGCAGTAACACGCTAACGTTACGTAATTACAATGACCAAGTAAACTTATATCCTGATCAAGATAGACTGCAAAGTGCAAAGTAACGGTTAACAAGTAAAGCGGAGCTTTGAAACTCCAATTTACGATCACTTATTTAATAAATGTAATTAATCATCACACATTACAAATTATGAACTAGTATGCGTCGCAAATATCACGTTCATCCTCAAAGGGGCAGCATTTGTATGTTTTTATAACACCTTTACACAAACTTTAATTTAGGATACTGTTCATACAACTCGGCTGATCTCTACCGTTTATCTGTTGATATTTTGTCACGATCAACACTTTCTAAAATAGCATATACTTGCGTGTCTAGAGGTTGAACGTTTTAGAAAGTAGTTTTAATGAGAATTGAATTTGAATAATGGCAAATTCCTGTTGTTCCTGTGAGTCGTCACCAGGGGGCCCACCTCCGCCGTCCAGCGTTAATCTGGTTAATCTTCACCCACTCCGCTGCACTAGTCTTCTGGTTTGCTTCACTTACATCGGACCGGACCTGCCAACCCCACAAACCCCGAACGATCTCCAGCCACGCACCGTATTCGTGGCCGCGCGCTAGAGATAAAAGTAGCCGTAAGTAGGAACGTAGCAGGAGAACAAGGTTTAACTTTGCAGGGGGGTTGAACCGTGGCGCGGCCCTTTAAAAACGGAGCGCGTGTGTGTGCGCGTGAACGTGTATGCGTATGCGTGTGCGTGTGAATGTCTCCCGTGAGTCAGTAGAGTTCACTGAACCGTCGCGAAGAGACGTTTCCGCCCACAAGCAAGATGGCGGCTCCCTTGCTGGAGAATCTGTCGGAGTCCCTAGCTGCCCCGGAGCCAGCGGTTCGACTACTTCTCTCTATTTTAATCGGTGAGTTTTAGGGGGGTAGCCTGAGGTGTTAAAGGTTTGCCGGCTGACACGGTGTCGATCTCGCGGGTGGGAAGTTTTTTTTTTTTTTGTAAGCGCTCCGTGTTAACCGAGACAAGCACCGCTAGCGTTTCGGTTTGGCGGTTTTCAACTGTGACACAAAAACGCACACAGGCTTCGGAACCAGGTGCACTAAGCAACCGCCGTTTTATGTAACGTGGCGTTAGATCAACAGTCACGCGAAAGGAACCACTAACGAACCGATCGATGAAAGTTGCGCATTCTCAAAACGCTTCAGAAGACCGCGTCCCCTTCCATTAAAACCATCGACCCGCGGCTGGGTTGTCGCGACAACGCGTAACTTGTGGCCGTTGACAACCGGCATGACGGTGCTCTCGTGTTTGGGGGGGCAGGTGGGGTGTTTTGGTGTCAGATATTGTCAGCTGTCGACTTTCGCTTCCATTCCCCTTTGACTATATTGACGTTGCACTGAGCTCGCGTTGACTCACTGGACAGCTGGGTCAAGTTAGCTTGACAGTTAGCTGCCCAAAGCCGACCCTCTAAACATGGATGGCATTGTTTTCTGGCTGCTGGATTATCACGCCCGTGTGAGCCTGGCCTCAGTGAAGAGGATCGTCTCTTATGTTGTTGGGGGGCAGGGATAATATGTGATTAAAAACACAAATAAGGAGCACAGACTGGCAAAATAACCCCCCCCTCCCCCCTTGACACTGGGGGGTTTGAATGTATTTTTCATTAACGTGAGCACATTCGAGATCTGCTGTTTTTGAGAAGTGCCTTTAACACATGTAGGGGGGGTGGGGGGGCTACCAAAGGACCACGGGGCCTGAATGTCCTGTGTGTGTGTGTGTGTGTGTGTCATTGTGTGGCAGGGGAAGGGCGTCCTACACGCTGTCCTCTCTGAACTTTGGGCTGACACATGGACACGTCTGTTTGTCTCTCTTGTGTTGCTTCACACCAACAAAGCGATAGACTGAACGTGGCCTTTGAGTCCGCTAAAGTCTTTAAAAAAAAAAAACGCTGAGTAGGCCCGTGGCACGCTCCTTGTCCCACTGTGGGTCTCGCACGATGTGGCCTCCATGTAATAACGGCCTTTGCCCTACACCAGCGGAGACTGAAAGCCTCAACAATTCCTCCGCTGTACGTGGACGGTAGATTTAAGCTTTGGTCAGTAAACTGCTTTGCAAAAGCAACTACATGGTAATCCTGTGTGCGTGTTCTTTTTAAGACTTGTGTGCACAAGCAAATCAGGAGACGAATGCCACACAACTGCAGCTCCTTACTGGATTTCTTGGATGTAAACGTTTTCAAAGGATATAACTACATTTATTCTGTATTTCACTAATGTCAACAAACACCATGCGGGTAAAAAGAATGAGCTGCTCCGTCTCTGAGGACTTCCATTTCTCTCCCCTACGCGACAAACCAAATACCAAGAAGATGTAAGTTTCATTTCTTAAGCAGGCAAACCATTATTAAGCAGCGGGACGCCACAAGAAAACATTACTCACAGAGGAGACGACCATGAATATTCTAGTGTTACTGTGTACCAGTGAGTATTTGTGGCATCAGGCTGGTAAATGTGAAACATTGATTCAAAATATACCACTCAGCCCCTTTTCATCATCATGAAGGTACATGTCGTCCGCTGCCACGGTGCTTTTAGTGGGACAATGGACGTCAATGATAAAGACTAATATGCTCCATCGGTGTTGTCCTTGGACACTCTTTACAGAGCTTGTGCTTGTCCTGGGGAGGAGAGCGTTTCAGGGAATTGGTCTTCCCCCTCCAGTACAAATTAAATTAATTTCTAAAGGCATGCTGTTTAATTATGTTATACTGTAGATTACATTCAAGCTCAATTATTTTCAAATATTACTCCAGAATCGCATTATAATCCGCCCAAATTCTTTTTTTAATGTAGCAGTTGGAATTAACTTGTGCATCAAAATCTAACCGTGGTCACAGCGGAATGTTTATCCTTTCCGTCGTCCCGCTGAAGGCAGTTATCTTTCTCCTTGAGATTCCACATTCGCCGCGTGCCGACGGGCTACTGTGTGTGTCTGTGTGAGCACGCGGGCAAACGCCATATGTTTTATGCCACAAGGTCAATGTTCTTCATCAGCGGGTGTGATAGGAAGACCTTTTTGTTAAACTTTTCCTTTTTGTTCCCGTCCTGCAGGTTATCCCTGTGCTCTGGTCTACCGGCGTTTCCTGTTCTACCAGCCCGCCACAGTCATACACTTGTTCCACACGTTCTCTGGACTGGCTCTGGCAGCATTCAACTTTGGTGAGAGGAGGACGAGGAGGAGCAGCGAGTTCGCCGTAGACTCGCAGAAATTGTGTTTCCTCAATGTGTAACAAACTCTCTTCAATGCAATCTTATCTTCCGAAAAAAAACATTAGTGATCACTTGTCTTGTTCCTCGTTCTTAGTGGTGCATATTGCATATTTTACATATTTTTATTCATTTTCATAACAGAAATGGTAAATATTTATCTCTTCCCGCTTCTCAAATGGAAATCTCTTTGCTACTTATGATAGAAAACTATCTTTTATTTTCTGTTCGTCCAACACCACAAGGTGGTGGAAAATATTCTTGTATACTTCTATTCAGCATATCTCACTGCTGTTCGGAATCCATTTACTTGCCCTGTATTGTCTCATCGGTCCTGGGAAT